AAGGAGGCTAACTAATAAGAGACTGCAAAAAAATTCCAGCAGCGACCCGCAGCCTGAACAAGCTGCTCTGCTCGGGGCTGCTCTCTGCTGACGGCAGATGCCCATGACCGAGCCTGCAGCACCACCCAGCCTGGCTGGAAAGCAGTCCAGACAATCAGCAGCAAAGTTGAACGAGCAAGCTGTCAGAGCAGAGGTGAGGACTTAGCAATGGAGAAGTTGTTCAATGACTGAAGTGACATTTTTGCCAGATTATAAAAATTATTTACATGTATTTGAAAATTAGGGGAAAATATAGGAAAATATTAAGAAAGTTAAATTCATAACATCAAAACCCAGAAATAGCTAGCAGTTAATTCTGAACTTTTAATATTTTTGGCAAAAAAATATTTACTTCGGTAAATATATTTTAAAAATAAAATTAAATTAAAATCCATGTATAATTTTGCAACGAACTTTCTCAAATCAACATCTTACTGTGAGCATTACCCATGCTTTTACCCACGTCTTATGTTTGTCTATTATCAACTTTTGAATGAGCCCTGACTTATTAAACCAAGCCCTATATATCTGTGATTTGAGTCATTTTTAGTTCCCTGCTGTTCCAACTAAAGCTGTTATAATCAAGTGCACAAATCTGTACGTGCATCTCTGATCATTTCTTCAGGGCACTACGTTGGAATTACCAAATGAAAGATTATGGACATGAACTCATAGCTTTATAGGTATTAACATTTATTGAGCACTTACTAAATGCCCTGCTGTATATTAATTTCTTCACATATACTAAATCGTTTCATCTCGTTAGTACTAAAGAGCACTATTGTTTTCCTTGTGTGAGGATGAAATGACAGCATAGAAAACACAATAAAGTTTCAGAGCTAGAAAATGAAAGAGGAAGGATTTCACATTCTGGTGGTCTCCAGCCAAACTGTGCAATTACACGGTCCTGTAGCTTTACCATGTTTGTCTTCCATTAATAGTGTATGAGTTCTCATTGCATATACAGAGGAAAACAGAGAAGTATTGCATTTACTTCTTTGATATTTTGATAATGTATAAATCGTTACATTTGTACTTTTGATAACTATGGAGGTTTCATATTTATTACGAATTTGCTTTCTTCTTTTTAATGAACTGATATTTTCTTCTGTAACAGTGTTTGTCTTTGATATATATATATATATATATATATATATATATATATATATATATATGCATATAGGTATGTATGTATAATACATAAATATAATATATGTGTGTATATGTATATATATATACACACACACATATAACATACTTTCTATGTTGAGGATATTAGTCCTTTGTCCATCATAAATATATTATTCTCAATGTATCATTGCCCATTAATTCCATAGTCATTTTGGTGTCTTAATATTTGTGTACCTTAACTGATTTTTTTACTTTAAAGAAAAAAAAATTTTGTGTGTGTACTGAGGATTGAACCCAGGGGCACTTAACCACTGAGCCGCATCTCCAGCCCTATTTTGTATTTTATTTAGAGACAGGGTCTCACTGAATTGCTTAGTGCCTTGCTTTTGCTGAAGTTGGCTTTGAACTCACAATCCTCCTGCCTCAGTCTCCCAAGCCACTAGGATTACAAGCATGTGCCACTGCACTTGGCTACTTTAAAGAAATTTTGAAGTAATATTTCAAATAACTTATTTTACTTTCAACTCTAATAATACTTATGTTTTCGTTTAGCTCTGTTGTGATTTTATTTATCTTTTCATTCAAATATTTGATCCATTTGGAATTTATTACTGTTATTTTGTCTCTAGTGATATAATCAACTTTTAAAACAAGGAACCAATGTTCCCAGTAACATTTTCTAAGGAGTGCAACATTTCTCCAGTTACTTGGGGGTTGATTTCCGTCACATGCATCCTGGTTACCGTCCCTCCTGCTCCATTGCTCCTCTCTGTCTAGGTCACCTGCCACATTGCTGTGGAACTCGCCCCTTTTATAGACATTTCAACAGTGTCTCTGTAGCACTCTTCTTTTTCAATGCATTTGTCTATCCTCATTCTTTTATACTTTTGGATAATCTCCAGAAACACCTTTTCAAGTTATGAAATAATATCAGCAAGAACATAATTGGAAATACCTTAAACATAACCATTATTTAGGAAACCATTATATTTATAAAATAATACCTTCAATATGTTTTTCACTTTTGTGTTTTGGTTAATGTATCTTGATAACATTTTGTAGTATTTTTCTTAACACAGACCCTAAATGGTTTTTTTTAAGTTTATTTCCAGTTCTTCTGTATATTGTATTCATTTGAATAAAAACAAAATCTCTTTTTTCAAAAACAATGCTACGTGGTTTTATTAAATAGCAGAGGGTTATTTAACAAAGGCTCCTATTGTTGGGGTGGGTGGTTCTTTTTTTATTTTGCATTTAGCCAACTTTCTGTGTGACTTACTAGCTTCAGCAGATTTTTACTAGGTCTATTGATTTTTCTAAGGGGAAAAAATCATATGTCACCTGAAAAATGAAATCTTTATCCTTTGCCATTCGCTACTCATTTTTTTATCTGTTGTTTGTCCTATTTCACTAGTTAGAATTTCCAAAAAATGCTGTAGAATTGTATTGATGGCAGGTGTGTCCTTAACTCCAGTGAAAATTCCTCCATTATTACTCTATTGCATATAATCTTCTATGGTTTAAAATAAACCCTTTTTTCTCATCTCACGAACTACTTTATTTTTCAATTAGCTAACGTTGGTATTTGAGTTTATCAAATATATTTTTATTATGATGTTTATATGATCTTTTCTTGGGTCTGTTTAGGTAGTATATTTTAATAATAGATTTCTGAATATGAATGCATACTTTTGTTCTTGGGGGGGCGGAATGCAACTTGGCCATGGACTTGATCTTTTCACATAGTATCAGAGTCCTAATGTTTTCTTTCAGATTATACAAGCAGGAAAATAGCTTGCATTTTTCTTCACTTCTGCTAATGTCAGGCTTCAGAATCAGGGTTACGATAGCTTCATAAAACCAGTTAGGAAGCTTTGGATTTTCTTCCATCCTCCAGTTTATAGAGCAAAAGAATTATCTGTTCCTCAAACTTGGAAAAAAAAATTTGTTCATAAAAACATTTGCACCACAACCATTTTTGGAGGTAAGCCTTTGACAACACTTTCGATTTCTTCCCTAGTTATTTTTTTTTTCTATTCAATTGTGTTTGTTTGTTTCTTGTGCTTCATTCTTAGTCAATTTGGATCTTTATATTTTCCTGGAAAATCATCTATTTCATTGAGCTTTTCAAATTTATTAGCATAACATTCTCTTCCAATGCTTTTAAATACTTTCTTATCTATAGCATCTCAGTAACATTTCTCTTTTATTCTTTGGTTAGACTTTGTAGGCTTTGTCTATGTTATTAGTTCAGAGATGATACTGGTGAGTTTAGATATTAGATTTTAAAAATGAATTTTAATGTTTTCCTTTTTGTTGGTGAATCTCTGCTTCATTCTTATTTTCTGTTTTCTGTTTTCCTAAAGCTAATTTTGCTGCTTTTTCACATCTTTTAACTGAATGCTTAATTATTTTGTGTTCCTCCTTTCTTGTTAGTTATGGAACCTTAAAACCTGCACGTGTCATAAGAATCACTGTGGCAACATCCCATATTTTTTTTATAAACAAACTTTCTCATCAATATATTCAAAGTAATTCTGAATTACAGTTTTGTTCCTCATAGGTACAAAAGCTACTTATAGAGGATTTTGTTTTAATTTTATGAGATTAGGTTTGTTTTGTTTGAATTGGCATTATGGTATTTATATATTTTTTATGAAAGTATGTTTAAATATTGCTATTATAAAAATTTCTTTTTTTGGAAAATATACTTAGATTTATTTTGTAAATAAATATGTGATCAGTTTATATTAATGGGTTGGGGCATTTTACAATAAAATGATTTCCAAGTTTAGTGTATGACTATTCTATTATTCTAGTATTCTCCATAGCTTTCTTACTGAAATCTTTATAATCCGACATATTTGAATTTCTGCATCTATTGAGACTGAAATGGTATATTAATGTATAATTAAACGAACAATTTCTATTCTTTTCTCCTGTGTGTTTCATGGACATCCTTATATACTTTGATATGGCAGTGATATGTATGAATTATATTTTCATGGAAGAGTGTGCTTTTCTTTATTCTGTGTGAACTATTGTATCTTATATTTCATTTCAATATAAGCGTTTGTTTGCATTCACCTTTGTTTGAATATTTATGAGTAAAGCTTTTGCTATCAATTTTACTTATAACTTTTCTGAGTTATTTCCATTAAGACATGTTTTCTTGAAAGAAACAGAATAATAATACTTCCTTCTTACCCAGATGCTCCTAGACTTAGGATGAGATTACATCTCAATTAAAGCCATCCCAAATTGAAAATATCCAAGGTCAAAAATGAATTTGATCCAACTTGCCCACTGAACATCAGAGTTTAGCAATCAGTGGTTGATGGTTTCACTGGTTGGTAGTTTCCTCTGGGATCACGTGGCTGACTGGGAGTTGCCGTGGGTCGCCCCCCAGCCACCAGGACCACACCTCCAGCCCAGGCAAAGATCAAAGTTCAGACTTCACAGTATGGTTTCTATTGAACAACTCATATCCCTTCCACATCTTTATAAAATCCGAAAATTGTAAGTCAAGAACCATCCATAATTATTCCCAAGATTACCTGAGTAACACTCTCAATCAGTGTGGTATTTGGCACATGGAAAGTGCTCAGTAAGTACCAGCTGTTGATATCATACAAGTATACATTGAATTTTTAAAAATGAAATTATAATTTAAGAATTGTAAGTAAAGACTATGCCCTATTTGCTTTTATTGCCACTTGTTTTACTTTAGGCATTGTTCTTTATATCTTATTCTATACTTTCTATTTTTATATGCTCTTCCTCACTCTTTTTTCTTGTTTGTTCACTTTTCTTTCTCACTCGTGTGTCAGGAACCGTGCTGAATGCTATGGATGCTACCGTGAGCAGAAGAAGACTTGGGCGGACCTCAGGAGGCTTATGTTCTAGCAGGAAAGGCAGACATAGGCCAAATCATCACTCAGACCTGTGAAGTTACAAGCACAGTAAGTGCTTTGATGTATGTTATGAGAATAAAGTCACCACCGCTACGCTGGTTTCACATAAAGCACTTTTTTACACATTGTATTGTGCCCTGTGAGAACAATTATAGCTAGATAAGAGGTGTGCCTTGATAGTATGTGATTAAAGAGTGGATGGTTAATTCCTTCCACATAAACTTTTTTTTGTACAAATGTCACAGATAAATCAATCACACTGGTATCTCTCATACTGAAAATGCAAAAAAAAAAAAAAATTTGCCAACTGAGGGGATTCAACACATTCCTAAGAAATGGAATGTTTTATTGGTTTCTTAGGTAAAATACCAAAGAACCCAGGCTATAAATTTACCACTTTAGAGGGAAATATACTATTGAGTCAACTATTAGGTATTCTATTCAATAAATATGCATTATATGTCTTCTATCTAGCAGTGCCTCAGTGGAGACCTGACCTGGGAGTTCCAAAACTCCCAACAAAAATCTGAAATCATAGATAGTACTGAACTCTCTATATAGAATTTTTCAAAAAATATACACACACACCTATAATAAAGTATATTTTATCAGTTGATCAGATAACCAAGGGAGCTAAATGACTAATGGGTGGGTAGTGTATATAATGTGGATACATTGGACAAAGGGATGATTCTGGGCAGGGCAGAGTGGGATTTTCTTATGAGGAAACATGTTTTTCTTCCACTACTTGTAAGAACTGCATAACTTTTTAAAGTGTTTACAAGACGAATTTTTATCTGGATAAATATAATAGATTATTCTGCTCTTGAGTTGTTGAAATATATTTGATGACTAAAACAAAATAATAATTTTTAATTCAGAAAAGTCACAAAAATAATAATTATCCATGTACCCAATGCTCAACTTTGCTAAATACCATTTTCCCAAATCTGCTTTAGATCTCTTTGATTAAGAAGCAGAACCTTTGGGCTGGGATTGTGGCTCAGCGGTAGAGTGCTCGCCTAGCATGGGCGGGACTCAGGTTCGATCCTCAGCACCACATAAAAATTAAGGCATTGTATTGTGTCCATCTACACCTAAAAAATAAAACTAAAAAAATAAATAAATTTAGAAAAAAAAAAAGAAGCAGAACTTTAAAGTCAGTTGAAATGTGCTTTGTCAATCTATTGATCTCATTCCCCCGATAGTTTGGGCTGCCTTAGATTTGATGTCATTCTTTCCCATCCATATATATTTTTACATATTGAGTACTTACAGACAGACATTTTTTTTCCTAAAACTTTTACTTACCATAAGTCATTTTCTTGTCCCCAATTCATCAGAAGTTTATTCGCTAAGGCCCATGCCAACAGTTCCCAAATTAAGTTTATCTACAGAATCCTCTTGGGAATTTCAAAATTACATAAGGATATCCCTGCTTTGTCCTTGAGAAATTTTTTATTGGTTTTCCAGGGTTCTGAGCTTTGGAGGCAGTGAGACCTGGGGCTGCCCTGTGTGTTTTGGGCTGTTTGACGGTCTCCCTGCCTCCTACCCTCTGGGCCTCAGTGGCAGCTCTCACACTGCCAGACTTTGCTCTGTTAACCATGTTTTTATATTTTCCAATGCTTGGACAGCTAAGGCCTTGCTCACCCTGAAAGGACTGCCACTCCCACATCTAGGCAATTCCTAGAGATAGTAATCAGCTCACAGGTTAGTATGACTTTCAGATACAAACTAACCAGTCTGGAGTCCTTATGCAAACCACCTAACTTTATTGGGCTTTCTTACTCCAGGACACTATCTGCTGTTTTAATTACCTCTGAGCCAGGTTCCAGACATCTAGGGACAGCCTTTTGCCCTCTGCTGAAATTAATTAAAACTCCCCAATCCTAAACTTAGGTTTACGCTGCCTCACCCAATCCTTCCTGCAAAAAAACCTCAATAATGGTTCTTGGCCACAGATTCTCCTCTTTCTCCACCTCCTGTCACTCTTTGGTACTTTTTCTGTGTTCTTATGTGGCATGATGGTGTGCCCCCTCTTCTTGGGAACTATTATAATGACTTTTTTTTTTTTTGCAGCTGGGGATGGAACCCAGAGCTTTGCACATGCTAGGCAAGCACTCTACTATTGAACTATATCCTCGCCCTCAACAACAGTATGTATACACACACACACACACACACACACACACACACAGCATTTGTCTCTTGATCTTTTGGCCTTGCATTATCTCAAATATCTTATAATATATTATGTTTTAAAGCAATTGTCAAGTGTCTTCTTGGGGAATATTAACCCACCTTGAGAATGGCTGGATTAATTCAAAACCTGATTCCAACTGTGGTCAAACTCAAAACCTGGTAATTTGTATTTCTAAGAAAACCATCAAGGTAAGGTGAGATTGATGAGTTTAGAGAACTCTAACCTTTAGAATTTGGGCACAAAGGTTGAAGTCTGGCATTCAAGGCTCCTTTCAGCCTCACCTAGCAAACAGAATTCCTTTTCCTCACCTGTCTCATACCTCTCTGCCTGGGAGCCCTCCTTTTGCAACCTGATCCTTGAGAACAGGCTGATCCTGCCCACTTCCAAACCTTTGCTGTAAATGCAGACTCAGGCTTTCCAAAGACCTCTGAGATTTCGTCATGTATGCATTTTTAAATAATTAATATTTGTTTATTGAAGTAATGAACTCACCACTTCTCGATCATGACATCTGAAACTGCTCAAATGCGACTTTCATGCTTAACGCTCCACAAACCCTCCTACAAACTCAAATTTATACTCTCATAATAGAGGTCAAGGGTCTTCTTGCAGTTTAATTTTATCTGTTGCTATGGTTATCTGAATCCTGCCTCTCTCCCAGACCAGACTGCAGATTTCACAAGGTCAAAGATCAAATCTATTTGTGTCCAGGTCCACATTACTATACACTGTCTAGCAATAAACATTTCAAATGACTGAACCAATTAATTCATTAACCAATTAATTAATTACTATTTTATCTTGTCTCCTCAGACGATGTTCTTTTTAAGTCTCCTTCCAACCCTATGAAATAGTTCATTTAAACATTGCATATTGAAACAATGAATGATAACTGTTGTCTGAATTATATTTGCGTTATCAGTTGTCCTTTACAGAAACTGGGATACATACAGGTGCCAAGTCCTCATTTATGTTATTTTTAAAACTGGGCAGACTCCCTTTGAACAAAAAAACAATTGCATTTGGAAAGAAATATGATGTTATTTATGGCTATTATGTCATTGCTTATTCAGAAAGATTTAATGAAAATTCAGCATTGGGGCCTAAAACCAACACACTCTTCTCGCATTAAATGAATGTCATTGTTGTCAAGATAATTCCAAAAATTAATTAGAATCAGCAGAAAGTGTTTTCGGCATTTTAAACTTCTGTTTCATATACTGAGATGCCCTGCCACCTAAGGAAAATAAAACAACATATGTTTTCCCAAATTGGTGGTCTTTCATCTCAGCATATTCATTTTCTTACTTGCAGAGAAAAATAAATAAATAAGGGGTTGGGGCTGTAGCTCACCAGTAGGACAATTACCTAGCATGTAGGAGACCTTGGCTTCCATTCCCAGCACTGGGGGTGGTGGGAAGGAGAGACAAGAAAAGAAAATCACTTTCTCAAACATTAGGGTTTTTTTTTTCCCCTTGCTGAGTGATAATTCCGCTTGGACAATGCTGATTTCATTCAGTGAGAGTTCCCATCTTCAGCCCCACTCATGGGCAAGGAGTGCCTCTAGGCTTCATAGACTGCCACACCCCTGGGAGGTGTTGGGAAGCTTCTGAGGGTTGAAGAGCAAGAGTAGACCTCATGCTTATTCCCCAATGCCTTCCTTCTTTGCTTTCTGCCTCTATCGTTATTATGCAATAAAGATCCTATTGTTTCCTGAGTTTTTGATTTAACTTGTACCTAACAGGCATAGACCACCTAAATAAAATGGTGAATAATGAAAGTAGTCTGTGGACATCATAGAATGGGTCAGCCCTATTCCCTCAGAGAATAACAGTGAGGCTCCTGACAGTTCCTGAGTGTCAAGGGGATTGTTTGACCACAGTTTGAATCATAACTGCTAGTATAAGAGACCCATCCCCCACCCCCACCCACCCCCCAAAAAAACCTCAGTTCTTAATCTTAACATACAAACCTTGGAATTTCCTTGAGAAAACAAATCTGCACTTCAGAATTTATATTCCAAGTCTTGAAAACCACAAAATCCCAGGGCCGAGGCTGTAGTTCACTGGTAGAGCACTTACCTCGCGCTTCCCTAGCATGCAAAAGGTCTCAGGTTCAGGTTCAATCTCTAGCACCATTTAAAAAACAAAGAAAGAAAGCAGACTCTCTTTTGCTCAAAGCAAGGAAAGATGGTTGTAGAGGTGATTGCTGTTCAAAAAACTATGACTTCTGCTCCATTTGCACACAAGAGCAATTCACTTGACAGTAGTGATCATCGCTAGTCCTCTCCAGAGGGTTTGCTTGCTCTTTCTTCCTCTCTGGCTCCTTGTTCACTCTTGCCTCTGCACCACCACTATCCCACATGGCTTCCCATTCTCATCCTAGGCATCTCCTCATTTCCTGACCTAGTGTCTCCATCTCTCTTCCATCCTCCTCCCTCTATTCCTTCTCTCTCTCCTCTTCTCTGTGTCCTTTCCCCTCCTGTCATCCTTTCTAACTTACAACTCTGCATCCCCGTTTAACGTTGGAATCTGCCATAGATCCCTATAAAACTAGATAGACTAAAAATGAATGCCCAGAAGCACCTTGGAGCCAAAGTAAGCACCTTGGATCCAACAACTTTCTCTCTACCTTGACATTCAGCTCTTCATAGTTAATAATGGCTGCTTAAAACATCTTAGAGTGGATGCATGACATCTCGTTATAAGTTAGTAGCCTATAGATGTTTTGAAGTCTTTTGATAATGGGACTTCCTTTTCATCCAAGATGCAAGCACCCTATCAATCCACTGGTCTCCAATGAAGCCCTTGTGTTCTTGTTGCAATGGGAATTGGGTTCTCCAGAC